ACAAAACTTTAATGAGGATAAAAAGATGACACTGGTATATTGAGACATTTGAATTGAAAGTAAATTAGTAAATTAGATTGGCATGGACCATTGCTACTTTTCCTGCCCCTTTGAAAGGAAGTGACTTGTCTTGGGAGGCTGTGTCTCCATTTCTGAAGGTTTTCAAGACATCACTGGCTAAAACATGGAGCAACCTGGTCTGACCTCAGAGCTGGCCTTGCTTTCAGCATGTTAGATCAGACTCTTCCTGAGGCCTCTTCCAACCTCAAAGATACTGTGAATCTATGAAAAACAGCTCCCCATTTCAAAAGGAAATGCTTTAATCAGACTCCTAAAACCTCTTGCTGGCACCTGGAAATTATTTTGATCACATATAAAAGATCTACAGCATATCAATTTTATACACTGCTGCTTTGTCAATGGTTGACCCAAGTGTGATGCTGTCATCAGCTTCCCTGTTACCAACAGGCAAATGTTACTTTCTTGGGACATAAGTGCAAATCAGACACTTGTAGGACCTGTAAAAATTAGGTTCCCTGATAATCAAGTACAAGAAGCAAACGTTGGTTGGTTGGTTGGTTGGTTTTGGATGGCTGTCTAGTAGCTGGAATAGGTTCTTTATCTTGGTGCACTTCTTCCATGTTTGTTTTTAAAAGTGTTGTGTATTATAGCTAGTGTATTCAAATGTAAGGAACTAAAACTAGCTTCTAAAGTAATTCAAATTTTTGAGCATCTGTTAATTTTCATGTAGAAATCAAGCAATTCTTTATCATGCCAAAATACAGACTTAAAAATCCAGTTTCAGCTTGACATATACCAGAGGAGAATTGAACATTTAATGTAATTTTATTTCAAAATAAAATATGGATGACCTTAATTATAAAACTGTTTTACAGAATGAGGATTTTCTCAGGTAGATGAGGCTGAGATTTTATCACCCTTATTTCAGTGTTTGGTCGGTTTTTTCCTTTTAGATGCTTTAAAAAGATCTACCAAGAAAACTCAGGGGGATTTCTTGATCAGTATTCCTAACTATTTAAATCTGATTTTAAACTTTAGTAGATCCAGTTCTATAGTGACTTAGCTTTTGTGAGCATATGCATAACACATAACATGAGTCAAATCTTTATAATGTTCCAAGAGGAGTGTTTGAAGTAAATCACTAATCTTTAACGGACTGTGTTACATCTTTTACAAATCTGACTTACTGTTCTCTGTTGCACTTACAACCTCACTTAAAAGAGGCAAGCACAGCAGGGGAGTTTTGAATGACCTTGAAGCTCTTTAGGGATGGGTTATTCCATCCAGAGGGTTAAAGCAGGGCACCCATGGACAGTACTCTGGGAATACAAAACCAGGAGAAACAATAGAAAGAGTTAAAATTATGGTTCTAAAATCAAGTGTAGCTTCTGATCTGGAGATTTTCATCCAAGCACTGTGTCAGTGGTAAAGGAAAGAAAAACTCTTCTCTAGAAGTTAGGAAAATAACTGGCATAAAGCAGACTGGTGGTGATTCTGGGAAATGTGGGCTGTGCCCCTGTGGGATGGGATTGATGCCATGTAGCCCTGCACCGCCCTGCAGACAGCTCTGTTCATTCTCAATCCTCTTGTTTCTCAGATCCTACGTTGTGCAGGCTTTCAAGTACTTCCTGTATTTGCATAAATGAATCATTTATGTTCTGAAATGATAACTGTTTCCCCAAGGAAAAAAAAAAATCTACCTGTCTATCTAAGACTGTAGCAGTAGAAAGATTCTGCAAGGCAAAAGTTGAACATGGTGGGTTGATGTTTTTGCTTCATTTATGCCAGCCTGTCCTTTCTGGGGGGTGGTCCAAGCTGCCTCACAAGCTGGGGCACTTCCCTGATCTCTGGCCTTTGGTTCATTCAAGGTTTGCTTTTCAGATTTGATGCAATGTAAACTTGTGACACCGAGAAAAATCCCTCGAGTTTATTTTTTTGTGCTAATAAAAATAACTGGATCAAATAACAAGATCAGATGAGAGTGACTTATGGAAAAATATACTCAGCTCATTGACTTATGTAACCACTCTTCAGGTTTCACTGTGATTCCCAGCTTAAATAAGAAAACAAAATGTAATGTAATACTTATATGATCATAAATATGTACATGTTGTTTACTTTAGCATTTAAGAGCACTTCTTACTCATAGGAAATTCATGGTAGGGCAAGATATCCCAATTTTTTGTGTATTTTTTTTCAAATACCACTTTTGTCTCATTTTAGTTTCAACCGGCATTCTTCCACCTCCATCAGCTACCAGTCAAAGCAGAGGTATAAAAATGTTTTGTGCAGCTATTCTACCTTAAAAGCACTTAACAAACCGGTTTATTGCTACTAGTAGACATCTAGTGAAGCGTTAACACAAAAATGATCTGCTTAAAAATATTTACTCTTTCTTTTTCTGACAACTAATCGTTTTCAGAGCCAGTATTTAATTTGCTGCCTGTCACATGCCATTGACTGCTACAGATAAATTCAATAAGGTTGCTTTCACTGCTTTTTGAGATGCAAGTGCTTCTTGATCCGTTAAAACATCTTTGGTCCTTACAACATCTTTTTATTCTTCCTTAATTTCCTTCTTTCTTTCTTGTGTTTTTTTTTTTTTGTTGTTCTTTTAATCACATGCCATTTCCTTTTCTTCAGCAAAAATTCTGATAAATCTTTTATTTCACTAAACCCTTAATGATGTAGTGCAACACTTTATTTTTCTTTGACAAGCCTTCTTATCTTTATTACTGTATTTAATGTGTGTCATATACATGTGAAAGGGTTGAAAGGGTTCAGCATTTCTTTTAATTTTGCTGTCATTTTGGTACTGTGAATGTGTGTGTGTGGGGGCAGGAGCTGTTTTGGAGGTTTTTTTCAGCTTCATTTCCCCGGACACAAGGAAATCTGTGGTATGATTTTACTATGCTATTACATTTGGGAAGCACTTGAATTTTGAGTAACCATTTTTCTTCATGACAGTCTAAGTATTACTAATCTGGTTCAGAACTTATTTATTTTGTGCATTAAGAGAGGTTCAAATGAGTCTTTCTAACCATTGGACCTGTGCACCTGGGAGTAGACTTTCCTGACTGGATGACATTTTCAGATTAAGACTGTGTGACACATAATTTTAAAATCTTTTAACCCACATTGTAAATATTGGGCACTGAGCTGTCTAGTTTACCCGGAGCAGCAGATTTTAAAACAAGGACAAGTCTTGAAGTCAAGATGGTGTGTTTAGCCAATGGCATTTTGAAAGCTGTGGGTGAAGCCAGTGTGCCCACAGTGTCCCTGCCCCCGTGCTGTGGTAGAAGCAATGACCTCTGTCCAGTGATCCCAAACACAGTGCCTGCTTAGACACCACACAGGAGGAATCATCAGGAAATAGATGGCAAGAATGGAAAACAGAAAGTTTTCAGTGCTTAGAACAGCTTTGGCGGTTACAAAATCACAGCATGGTTCACAACAGAATTTACAGTGAATACAAACCCACTAAAACAGTTTATCTTGGAGAGTCGTGTTCACTCATGGTATAGTGGACCCAAATCCAGGCCTAAGCCCTAGACTAGATACAGAAATAATTAGCTATAGCCATTGTAGCAATAGCTAAGTTTCTAGGTCTTGCTAAATAGACAAAATAAATTAGCCTGAGGCAGCAATGCTATGCAAACTAGATCTATAGTAGAAACAATGTCAGAGCAGCAAAAAGCTACATTGAGGACAGGTTTATTTTGTTCAAAATTAAATATTGAAAGTTTCCATTTCTCAGAATGTTTCTTACCTGGACTGGAACAAATCTGCTGGGTTTGCCCTGTATGATTATAATGTGTTTTCTCCAGATCGCTTCTGTTTCCACTGTCAAAGAAAGTAAAGTCAAGATGGACCAATAGTCTAGGAAAGCTGGATGCTTCTTTTCATATGCTGACAAATGTTTTCCTATAGGCAAACCCATTGTGCAAATAACTCCTTAATAGATAGGGATCTAGTTCCTAGGGAGAGTGACACTGAAGGGAAAAAAAAAGAGCAAAACTATTTTCAGGGTGAGTAAGAAGGATATTCTGTAGTGAATAGGTTTTTCTTACTGCACACATTTTGTTATCTGTTGCTTCCCTTCCTTTATCTGTTGCTTCCCTTGTACTTCTTCATTCCCTCTTGCTTGCTTTAACTGTGATGCTCTTTTAGCAGTCTGTGAAGCACAGGCAATACAAACAGAATCATCCCAAGTAACCAGCAGATAGAAGAGGCATATTTTTAATCTGTTACTGTAATCAAACTGAGAATCACCATCTAAGTCATAAAATAGAGAAAAACTTTCTTTCTCATGTTTGGAAACCTGAGCAAATGTTTTTATTCTAGGACCACAAGAAAGTGCATCATAATATTTCATATCATATGGTTTTTTTTCAGAAGGATGAATCTGAACATCAGGAAAATTGATGTAAACTTTGGTGTCAGTCTAAAAAGGAAAAGAGTTAGTTTCAGAAATTTTTTAAAGGTCTCTTCACTATTTTTGAAAAAAATATAACAGTATATAAATACTGAATAGCATTTGTAATAGTTGTAATTGTGCTGAGCAAGTATATTTTTAAGTCCAGATATCCCTCATTGATTTATCTTAGACTAGACCAGACCTTTTTGTTTGCAGAGGAACAGAAAACACAAACCTTGTATGCAACTTTGTGAAGTCTGATCTCTTGTTAAACTGAGAGTTTCAAATTTGTCGTATTCCATCAGCAAGCTATTTTCTTTTGTTGTTGTGACAACAACAGCAAACTTGCCATTACTTAAAATCCTTTTTTGACTAATTTTTCTTTCCAAAGAATTGTCCAAGCCTTCCTTAGCAATGATAAGGACTGATGAATCTCCCAACATTCTCTCTGTAGCTCTCACAGACAGTTCCTCTTGGAGTGCTCTGGACACTGCCAGATCTGTTACTTCATGATCAGTAACTTCTGCTTGTAAAATTGTTTACACTTACATTTTGCTTTTAGAAACACAAGCCAGTCATATACACCAATGCCAGTTTCTGGAAGCTACAGTGAAAGTCCTGCTCCTTCTGCTGCTTCAAAAACGAGAGTTGTTACTACTGCCAGCATAAAGCCCTCTGTGTACCAGCCAGGTAAGGAGCCTTCAAAGTACTGAAAAGATTCAGAAAAAAATGTTCACACATTTCTTTTGGAAAAATAAAATGTAGAAAGCACGCATTTTACACATAGACATAGCAGAAAGTATTTATACAGGTGGGACTAAATGTTGCTAGTTTTGTCTCAGATTATCTGAAGATTGAGGATTATGTTGTATTTGTATTCTGCTTCAGAGTTAAAATGTGGAACAAACAGAGGGAAAAACAAAAGCAATGGAAAAGTGTAAAAAAAAAAAGTGTATCGTGATTTTTCAAAAGAAATACATTTGAAAAATAGGAGTGTAGCCAATTAAGAGCCCAGTGACACTACAGAATTGATAAAATGACTAAAGAATGCACAGTTCAGGAAGGAGGTAAAATAAGTGGAGTTTGCTTGAGTAGGATATATTTGCAAAATAAGTAAGACCATATCTTGAACTTCTCAAACTTAGGCTTATATTTGAAATAAAGAATGAGGTATTAAAGGACCTCATAATGCTATTCCATTTCCCAGAGAACTAGTAACTTAAGAAATATATTTGGTTATTCATTCATCTGGAAAATATGCTCCTTGATATTATTTAATTTTCTTGGTATTAATGTGTTACAAATTGACTGAGCTCCTAAAGCCATTGATGACCAAAATGTGAACCTTCAAACTGAATTAATTTTAATTTTAATGAGGTAGCAATATAAGTCTAAAGGCAGTTCTGTTTCAAATTAAGGTTTTTCTGATCTTAGGCAAGAGAATTAAAAAGTTGATTTATATCTTTGCAGTCAAATAAATATGAAAAGGACAAGAATTCAAACAGTCTTAAACTCTGTCTTCTGTAATGTTCTATTTCTGGATCTACTGAAATTAAGCAAATGTAGGAATTTTAGTTAGACATAAAGCAGACAGACAAATCAATTATCTTTATATTTGAGACCTAAAGGTAGAAGAAGTCAAGTCAGAGCTCTCATGAGCTATATTAAGTAAATAAACCTTCAGCTCCTCCTCGATTGCTTTTGGTTAAGTGCACCAATGTATACTGTGTTCTTATTCAAGGCAAATGCTATTATCTCTGAATTGAAAAGATGATGACAACAGATTTATTTCTATAATGCAGAGGAGAGTAAACTGTGGCAAGTCAAAATATCTCCTAAATACACTGACTGATGTTAAGCCCTGTGCTCATTCGGGGAAGTATAAACTCCAGTTCAATATACAAAGCTGCCACAGAAATACATCTGCAGCTATTTCCAATTATTGGTTGGATCGGGTAAGGTCAATGCTGGCTGTTGAATTCTACTTGGAATAAGAGGAAAGGCTTTTGTTTTCTCCTGGGTCAGGCATCTTCTTTGCACTTCCTTACATTGCTGGCTTTCCTTTGCAATTCCTTATGTTGCTGCTTTTGAGCCTCATTGCCTCTCAATAAAGGCTTAAATAGTTGGCAGAGAAATAAAAAATCCTCCTATACTATTTGGGAGTTTGAAATATCCAATAAGAGATTCTAAAAGACCTTCATTATTGAACCCTAAAGTGACTCGGGTACAAGAGAGGTTCCAGGCAGAGATTTTAGTGAAGATGTTTGGTTCTTGTTTTGGTACCTTTTTAAAGTGTTATATATTTGATGTCGTAGCACTTCAGAGTGGTTTAGGAGCATGAGCTGGCCTCAGAGACACAGTTGCAGAGCAAATGGGAAATTGCCACTTGGGAAGAAATGGCATTTCCTGTCACAAATAGGAAAATCAATAGTACTTAGAAACAAACCACCAAGACAACAATCCACTTAGAAAACTTCTTTATCCAACTTCGTCATCCAACTGGCTTCCCTTGGGAATGTGGAGCAGCAACTTCCTGACTGAAACACCAATCAACAGGCTCATATATCCAATATAGAGACATCAGAATCAGTTGCTGAGAGGATTTACAAGGCTCTTTTAATCTGTTAGATTGAAAAAAAAAAACCACCAAAAACAACATACTCAAGTCTCAAAATGAAACTGCACTGTTGAGTATCTGGCTCAGATGGGATTTATCCAACAGTCTACACTTTCCCTAACCTAACTCAGGTGGGAAATTTTCTGCTGCTGAAGATCTTTAGTTTTTTCCAGTAGAGAAAGCTGTGAACTCAGAAATCTTTTCCCTAAATTTCATAATCCGTTTTTTAAAGGAGCACAGACTTCTCTTCTGAACAAGGCCCACTAGATGGCAGAACATACCTGAGTATTCCTTTCCCATAGGCTTTCCCAGACCAGGATAGCCTTTCACATATCCCAAGCAGCTCCAGCTCCAGTTTTGTATCACGAAGTAGCACGATACCTAAAAGTAAGAAAACAAATCTTTCCTTTTAAATCCCTAAGTCCTACTGGGTCTACTTGTGTATGCAAAATTGGTCAAGCATAAAGGCCTGATCTGCTCTTTTAGGAATTGGTAGAGAGATTCCCACAGTTCCTAATGAACTTTAGAATGAATCCTAAGTGCCTTCAATACTACATCAGCAGCTTCCACATCATTATTTCATTTTTAGTTCCCCCAAATAAGAATCATGTCTCCTATAAAACGTCATCTGCTTTGTCTGTCATCTACTCTCTACTGTAATGGTATATGGGAAAATTTTGGGCTTCAAGGATGTGGCCACTAAGTGTAGAACAAGCCATATCAGTCATGGTTATTAATTTAACTTGTTACTGAAAATAATAAAGCCTAACACTTATATCATCTACTAACAAAGAAAACAAAAAAAGAAAAAAATGTTCTCACAGTGCAAGTGAGTCTGTGACCAAAGCATTTGAGACTATAAATCTTTGCTTTACTAAGTGAGTCTTGGTAATGTTCCTTTTTGTCTGGAGAGAAAATAGCCATAGACCACAAATGAAGAGCTGAGGGGAAGAATTCCAACTTCCCCAGAAGCAAGGAATTGGCTTGTTCTTACTCCCGTTAAGAGAGACCTCTTCTCCTGCCATTCTCTCGGGATAACAATAATCCCATTCATTCTTTCCTATTCTAAGAGAATGTGATGGCTGAGAGAAACAAGGTGATAGAGGCTAAGTTATTTGCTGAATTATTTGAAGTATTCATTTCTTAACAGTTAGTGGTCAACTCGTACAATACTGGTATTTTAAGAATATATTCTCTGGTTTACTAATCTTAGTACTTTTTTAGCAGCAAACAGCCCCTTTTTTCTGCTGATTAGTGTTGGAAGACTTTTTGAAATACATAAAAGTTCAAGGTGAATGTATGGTAGTAGCTACTAAGACAAAAGAATTGTTCATATAAGCTTAGGGATATAATTGTAAGAAAATAAGATCATTCCCTTTATAACAATTGCTAACATCTCGAAGTTAGTGAAATCTTTCTATTATATTGTAGTGATACTATTTTGAAGCAATAGTAATTGCAGCTTGTTCACAAGAGGAAGATGTATTGGAATAAATTGACCCTGTAAAATTAAATTATAACAGCTGAAAAGAGAACTCAGAGCAGATGCAAACATGCAGCATTTGTCACTTTGCAATAATTCCTCCAGTGCTTCCTTTTAGTAACTGGGAAAAAAATCCTCTTTTGTTGTTTTATTTTACTTTCCTTTTTTCTCTTTCTTTATTTTACTGCAGCAAATAGAATAGAAAGAGTGAAAAGAAATAGAAGGTAGAGAGAATGTAGTGAAGTGAGCTGAAGTCACCTTGCTTAATTAGCCTCATAGGTGGGAACCTTTTGAACTCACCAATAAGAGATGAAATATTAACTTCTGATTTTGCCAGTCTTAATGCCATACTACATAAATAGCAAGAGCCTCAGGATCTAAAGATATTGCATATAAAATCTGTTCTGAAATCTTTAAATACTGTTTACCATTTCCAAGTTTAAGAAAAAAAAATAAGAAGCCTCAAGCTAAGGTGGGATACAGTTTTCTGAAGTAGAAACACTGCTGATGCTGTACCATAAGAAATTTTTATCAAGAAAATGCACTAGATTCAACTCTGACCTCAATAAAAATATCACAAGGGTGATCACAGTGCATTGATTTATATGCAATTTAACTACTTGCAAATTGCCAATAATCAGTGTAAGTTATTATGTGGCAGGGTGTGGGCTGAGGGAGGGGTGTTAAGTTGAACATAATATTCTCACCACTGAATTATTCAGAAAGGTCCATGTTACTTTCAGAACCCTCTTGGCTGAAATACCTTTCACCTGCAAGCCCCATAAACCTATACATGTTGTATGTGGTTATGATTTTCTTGGTGCTGGGATCTACTGTGTGGAATGTTTGCCCAGGCTGCTGCAGAACTGGCTTCTCTTCCCAAACCTGTGCTCTCTCATTTGGGCAAAACACTTCAGCTGTCTGAGCTTCTTTTCAGTCATTTGCTTTGTTTTCCTTGCAAAGGGAAACTGCTTTTAGTGCTCCTGTACTTGGCAAAGTGAGGCTGTTTCTTGGGCAGTAACTTCAGTACTACATAATGCAAGGTCTGATGTTTTGAAAAGAGCAGGGCACTGGGAAAACTTGTCAGTATGTGCAGGCAGGCCCTGGCTCCTGCTTATTTTAATGTGATAAAACTCCACCCAAGATTAGAGCCTGGTGCACACAAACAACAGACAGACTGCACCAAAGGTTTTATGTGCTAGTCAAAGGGTGGAAGAGAGAAAGGATCGTATTCTGTTTTACACACAGGAACTGAAGAGCAGACACACTTTGCTTTGCTCAAAGTTATACAGGAAGTTTGTGGCAGAGCCAAGAACTGAACTGAGATCAGTCATAACCACAAGTCTGGCCTTCCTCTAAGTGCTGTTGGCTTTATCTTGCTGGTCATGTGAGCTGAATTGGCTTCCTCAGTATTGCTTCCAGTGCTCTCTATCTCTGTGTTCCTGGTGGCAGCCTGTTTTTCTTCAAAAACCTAGGAATAAATCTACCAATGATAGATAACAGTGACATCTGTAGAACATCTTGTATTTTAATTAATATAATTTAAAATTAAATTATATGTAAATTTTAATGATAGAAAAATTAAATTAAATATTAATATAGTATGATATAAATGAGATCAAAAGTTAAGCATAGCTTACTGAAATTCTGGGGAATTTTATCTAAAACTTTACTATATTATCTGGCTTTTCTATTTTTAACCTGTCTTAAACCAAGTGTATGGCAGTCTTTGAAATTATCACAGAATTGCCATATCCATTCTAGAAAATGAAGAGATGATCTTGACAATGGTCTCCATAAAATCTGTAAAAGCCAGTAGGCAATGATTTCTGCAACGTGTGTGTATTAAAAGTTAGTGACTGTGCTGATACCCTTGGTTTCAGCCCAGAATAAATGAGCAACAATGGGACGGGCCATAATTAACTATCACCTAAAGCTTTTATTGTATGTGTGTTGTGGAGTACCCTTTGGTAAGTGTTGCTGTATTGCCAGTAGAAGAAAAAGACTTTAAAATCCTTCTTGGTTTCTTTTGGGATACTTAAAACAGCGCCAGCACCAGTTCATTCCTACACCCCTGCCAACACGGAGCCTGCGAGTCGCCCTCCCTGGGTGACAGATGACTCCTTTTCCCAGAAATTTGCACCTGGAAAATCCACCACCACTGTCACAAAGCACATCCTACCCAGGGGTGCTCCAGTGATATCTCCTGCCACGATTTCTGCTTACCCGTCTCCAGTTCCAACTTCTACCCAGCCCCCTGCATTAGCCCGGGGAACAGTTCAGAGGGCGGAGCGTTTTCCAGCCAGCAGCCGAACTCCTCTCTGTGGGCACTGTAACAGCATCATTCGGTAAGATGATGGGCCTTTGAAGAGGGATGAAGCAGAAAAGAAAGTATCAGAGAGACTGGTTATTGTACATTAATATACAGTTCCAGAGCCTAAGACTCTGTTAAATTACCCAGCAGGGATGTCTGTTGTCTGCTTCATTAATTTAAAATTTCCAGAGCTCATTTTGTTGTTGTGTGGTTCACTTTTTATCACTGCAAAGTTATACATGCTAATTGTTTGCCTCTTGGATGTTGCAGCAAATCCTTGCTTGATTTTAAACAGGTTTCTGGACCTAAGGTAACCCTTTGAAGGAGGTTCATGTAACCTCATTGGGAGAGTTAGGGGGCTGGGGGCAGAGGGGGGGATTGTGGAGAGAAGAGGAACAAGGCATCATTTTGGAACAGCAGCCAAATGTAATTGTTGCTTTTGTGTCTGGAGAAAGATAATGCCTACACTCTATTAGCAGTGATTCATAGCATGCCTCTCCCTTCTCTCCCAATTCATTCTGCTGGACCAGTGCCTACTGTTAGCCTGTGCACTGCTATCCAACTTTAAGTAATCCATGTTTATAATGACGGTCTTCTCCACTAAAAGGAGCTAGTTTGGTGCTGTGGAACTGCTGATTATTGTCCTTTATATGTTCTGGAATGGAAATATTCCAGTAATAATCACTATATCTAACTAAAATCACCAGAGTCAATCACCAAAATGAATTCAATGTGACTTCCACATAATGAAACAGCAAGTTGTCATCTGATAGAATAACATTTCTAGAATGCTGCATGCAGTGCTCTCAGATGGAAAGAAGGTAGGAGACTTTAGGAGTTGTTGTGAGGTGTGGGTGTGTAAGGATGGAAATTTGATATTTCATGCTTTCAAATAGTAGCATTATCTTCTGTTGCCTTTGGCCTTTTCCTCTTGTCTTTGCATCTGCTTACTTAGACCACTTTACAGCTAAGCAGGTACCAAACAATTGATTTTTCCAACAGTCGTCTGTAAATGCAGTGTATGAAACCAAAAAATAATGAAATGTTTTTACCAGTGTGTTTTGAGTAATGGCCTTGACAAAGACCACTTCTATTCAGGTTTCTAAATGTTATTTTAATATGCACCTCATGGTTCAAGTAGCTTATTATACGTGTACATGGTGTCTGGCAAAATGGGTTTGCAATCAGGGTCATTCAAACCTTTTTTTGCAATACAAATAAGATAATTACAATTGTTTCCAGAGGTCCTTTCCTGGTAGCCATGGGTCGCTCTTGGCACCCAGAAGAATTCAATTGTGCTTACTGCAAGACATCCTTGGCCGATATGTGCTTTGTGGAGGAGCAGAACAGCGTGTACTGTGAGCGCTGCTATGAACAGTTCTTTGCACCAACCTGTGCCAGATGCCACACTAAGATTATGGGGGTAAGAGAACAAGATTAACTCTTTGTGCAACTGTGTGGATCCCTGAAACAATGAAAAAGTTTAGACTATAAACAGTGAATGTAGATGTTTTATTATTTTGTCCTTTTAAGACTCATTTCCCAGCTTGTTGATTATTTCAGAATGAGAAATATATTATTTTACAATAAATTTTATCCATCTGAAGTCTTGGATATTTCAGTACCTTTTTGAGCTCATAGACAGAATATGTAATCCAGGTACCATCTCACTGAGTGTAAAATAAGTAACACTTTCTGGATAGTTTTTTGCTTTCTGATACACACTATGTTACTTTTATCTCTCCCTTACAGTAAGAGACATGAACTGGGTTTCTATTTCTTACACAGGACTTAGTCAAAATTTCAGTAGAGAAATCAGTGATGTTGGGAAGAGGCCCATTGCTCTTGCTGCACTTCACTGTTAGCAGCACAGCTGTTGAGGAATTCTGCTGGCTTCTCATAGTTAAGAAAATACAGAATAAATACAAAGATCTGAATTCCACAAAGCAAAAAATACCTGCCACTTTTGTCTTAAAGGACTCACGTACAAGTAAATGCACAATTTAATTTGCTCTCCACATACCTTAGATGGTGGTGAGGCTGGAATACCATCAATAATTTTAGCAGTGTATTTATGAATGCAGTTGTAGTGAAAGTATGATAGTGAATGTATGACCACAATGAATAAGCAAGGAGACCCTCACTGATTTTTCACTGCTTAGCTGTCACCCTTTGACATCTGTCTAAATGTTGGCATTAGAAGATGCAACTTAGAGCATTGGAAGATGCTTTTCTCTGCAACTGCCAATTAGGGGTGGCAGCTTCAGACATCGATGGTGAAGCTCTGGCTCCAACCAAGTCTCGTTTGCTACTGCAGCAGAAGGAGTAATTTATAGCAGAGTGCTGACTTAACCTGCCTAATGAATGCTGGCACAAATCAATTTCCCATTACGGATTTTCATCAGGAAAATAGCAAAGATGCCAGCTGCCTCTATTTATATTAATAAGATTTCTCAAGCTATTTTTGCTTCTTACCTCACTAAGGTTCATAAATGGATCCAAACCTATTTATCAGCAATAGTTGTTTTGCAAACAGTAACAGAAGTTAATGAATCTCAAATGGTGATTCTCTAATGAGATGTATGGCAAATCTAAATTATACTATTTTATCTATTCACTGGATTGAAAGCATGGAAGAGGACTTCAATCCATTTTGTCATAATAAGTGGACAATAAAAACAAACATAAAAAAAGAACCAGAATCTCAGCTGGTATAAATCAACACTGTTTCACTGAAGTTAACAAAGTTAATTTGCAGCAGTTATGCAGCTGGCCCTTTGAAATCTGGGCAGAGATACACTGTCAAACATCATCCTGACTACACGTAAGATTGACAAATTAGCAGGTAACTGTGCATCAGAGCCCAGTACAGCAGCTTTTGGACTTGGAAGACAATAGATGAGAAAAGAATGAAACTAATAGAGATTTCTCCATACTGGACAGAAGTAAGAGGCTGATAAAATCTAGATGTACTCAGTTGAGGAGAACATCAGTTGCACAGAATTAGTGTTTTTTGTCATAAACACATAGCCTAAGATCAGACATGCAGACTCATTTTTACTAATCACTGAAGTTAAGAGAACCTTTCATTTTCTTTTTCTTTTTTTTAGATTTTTACATTAGTTTGTGAATTGTTCTTGTAAGAAGCGTAAAGAAACGACTACATAATCTAGATTATTTTGAAATAACGGATTTACACCACTTATTCTTGGTCTTAGAAAATTACTCTTTAAAATTTATTTAACAAATCATACTCTTGCATTGAAGAGTTCATACTGGTCGTGTCCAAACATGGGAGAAGATAATCAGAATCTTTATGCAGAATCTCTCTTGCAACAGCAACTGGACATGTTGATACAAATTGCTGGCTGAACCATATTGTTTCACTTTGGCAAATACATTGTTCTAGAAAGCTTGCAGTCCTATTTCCTCTTTCTTTCCAAAAGGAGCCCAATTTCTGTCATAATTCTTTCTTTTGAAGAGGGGAATTGGCTGATACAGAAGGGAAGAATTTAGAGCATCTCTACCATGTGTTTGTTCTCCAGGAGAAAGTTGCAGGGCTGGCTATTCTGCTGGAGATTTTTGTTTGTTTGTTTGTTTTACAGGAAGTGATGCATGCCCTAAAACAGACTTGGCACACAAGTTGCTTTGTCTGTGCTGCTTGTAAGAAGCCATTTGGGAATAGCCTGTTCCACATGGAGGACGGGGAACCTTACTGTGAGAAAGGTATGGCAGTCTGGACAGTTCTGCACAGTAATTGTGTGTTTCACATTCATGGAAACAACGTGAGAATAAAGCAGCTGGTGAACAAAATAATATCAGTTACCCATCCAGCATGGATTTTGTTTCCACTCTCCACATATACAAGTGTATGTGTCTCTGCATTTTTCCTGTTTATATGAGAGAATGGCAGAGAGCTGGTCTTTGCCTCGATGTCCACAATGCCTTCACTTCTCTCCCTTATCTATTATCATACTTGGCACTTCTTTCCATACACATTTTCCACTGTTCCACTCCCCTCCTTGGTAGATTCTGCTCACCAGAAATATAAAATTAGTCTTCTAGGGCTGCCCACAATCCCTGAGTCGCTGGAGCTGTGACCTCTGATGCTGTTGCCTCACCCTAGAATTGTTCAACCAACACTTATGAAGAGATAGCTCTACACAGATGTGCAGTACATGGTAGAGCAGATTTTGCTTCCTGGCTGCTGCTTGTCAACTGAGAAAGGAAAAGGCCATGTTTTCCCAAAATGGTACTTGCCATGCAAATGAGTTGTCTGACACATGCAGGAAGGAGGTTAAGATGTGGTTAGAGGTTAAGTGGTGTTCCCTCAGTGTTCCCCTTGTGCATTCAGTGAGCTCCTGGCCTACTTCTCTCTGGAGAGTCCTTCCCTATGGTTATGCAATTCAAATTTTACAGAGTAGCTCTTATTGAAGAACAAAAACCATATAGTATGACTGACTGGGTATCTACCCTTTAAAATTGGAGGTTTTGTCAGAACATCAAATAACTCACATTAGTTCCGTATACCTCTGGAATTTCCACTAATATTTTTCATCCTCTAGCCTTTCTAAATCACACTTAATAAAGATGTATTAATCAGCCACTATAGAGTTTCCATAATGTTCTCTATGCAAAAAGAACATTAATCCAGGCATGGAAACTTGTAACATTCCCTTGTCATTAGACTCTTGTACGACCATAGTTGTCCTATGAATATATTCCACATATATTAAGCTAATTTGAAAGTAATGTGAGAAACATGACTTCAAATTCCATGGATTTTTTTGTATGTCTTCTACCTTTGTGATGATAAATGTCATACTAAGGGGTGGTTCTGGACCGAGTTTGTATTTAAATAATGAAAGAAAAGAAGCAAATTTCAGCAGGAGTGTTTCAGTAAATATAGTAGGAAACGGAGCAAAAACAATCAAAACATTAATTGTCTGGAAACATTCTATTTCTCTTGGACTTAATATGATTATGTTAAGAGTTTGTTCTAAGTTTGCTTTTTGTTTTATTTTAGATTATATTGCTTTGTTCAGCACAAAATGTCATGGCTGTGATTATCCTGTTGAAGCTGGAGATAAATTCATTGAAGCTCTTGGACACACTTGGCATGACACCTGCTTCATTTGTGCTGTAGGTTCTACATTAAATACTATCTCGTTCCTTTATTCTCCTAAATTGTGTAGTAACGTAACAAAACCTGAAAGCAGTCTTAACTAACATATGCTTAAGGATGCAGAGGGATGAAATTTCATGTTTTACTTGCATTTGGAGAAGGATGGGAGTAATTTTTCTTCTCCTCCTTAACTTTTTCTAGGATTATGAAATGTCACCATCATAAGTGTTTTCTAATAGAACATCCAGTTTTATATAGTACATACAGTAGTACAAACCACTATTGCTGTTATTCTTTCCAGTGTTTGCTAAATAAGAGAGAAAGACTGAAAATAAATTTACACTATACTGAACAGCATAACTATGATCTTACTTACAAAGGAGTGAAGTTCGTATTTCCATGCTGCATGCTTGTTGAAACTTGCAAAAAGAAGTCTGTTTAGAGAGCATGAATACTAATTAGCATAGAAGTTGGTCAAATTCATCAATCTGTGGTGTGCACATAGCTCTAGAGTGTGGCCGTATTCCCACACTCTGCACACAAAGCAGAAAAATCTGCATGATAAGCAGTACTTTCATCTGGTTCTAATACCACTCTGCAACAGTTCTGCAACATATTTTTTCCTAAAGTAATAATATCTAGAATCTCTAATTACCTAAAAATAGTATATTGGCCACACCAAACCAACAGTGACAATTTCTAATGTTTGTTTAAGTCTAAAATTTAGGTAGAATAGTTGAAAGTATAGATATGTTTATAAATATCTGAAGCTAAACTTGCTTTGCAGAAAAGTGTCTTGAGAAAACTGAAATCTTCTGGAAATTCTAACATAGAAAGGAACACTGAGTTTCCTTGACAAGCTAACAGCTCTCAATCACTTATTGATCACTCATGAAGATACTTTCTTTGAATAGTTCATGTTCTTTTTCTTGTTCATTTGCCTTAGCTACCCCATTTTCTGTGGAAGTGATAAATATGTAATATTTAAATATATGTATATATATGTATATATGTATATATATATGTGTATATATGTATATATGTATATATGTAAATAGTGTAAATATGCAATTCTCACAGTGGGGGTCTTTTTAAGGACCTAACTTTATTTCTTTCAGTGGGTTAAATCAACAGCAAATCAATACATGACTCCTACATGACTCTTAAACACTACCAAAGAAATGCATGGGCAGAAGAACAATACAGTTGAAACTGATAGTAGTATCTTTCTCCCTTTTCTTTTTCCTTAATTATTCCTGATTGCATTTATTATTAATTCTAGGTATGCCATGTGAATTTGGAAGGTCAGCCATTCTACTCCAAGAAGGACAAGCCACTGTGCAAGAAGCATGCCCATGCCATCAATGTTTAAAGGAAGAGTTGGTAGTCAGTAATGCTGGGGTAAAACAGATGGTTAACTGGGCAATTATAAAGTTGATAACCATGGCTAGCATTTCTCTCAGTAAAAGCTAGAAGTTGGCACTTTTCAAGTTTAACTTTATCTCTTTCATAAATGCAGAACGTGCTCTTTGCAAAGTTCATACAAAAACCTACTGAATGAATAGTCAAAACCGAATGAATATTCAAAACCAAATGAACTAATGAACTAGGCTATTATTTGAGCAACAGTTGGGGGAAATATCAAAATTAACTAAAAACCTTAATATAAAAAGTAATGTGCAAATATAGTTTCAAGTTAACTACTCACAGCAGTTTTACTGCTTAGACCACACGCTGGGGTTTAAAAACAACTGGAAAAATACTTCTGTATTAAGTCATTTTCTTTCACAGCAAGAATGAGTAAGTGCCATATGTACAGTCATCTGTAGAACCAAAGGCTGTAGCTTTCAAGGGGAAATAAATAGATTAGGGCTTCCTCTAGGAAAAGTGAGTGCTATTCCATTATGATGTGATGCTACCTCATAGCATCAGATATTTTAGATTCTTTCCAAATAACAAGTCTGCCTTGAATCCATATGTAGCTGGGAAGCCTAGGTGACAATCCATAACAGTTTGAAAATAAAGTGGTTGGGTCAGCCTTGCTAGTGCCCTTGGCCTCTCTGTGCACAGTAGATAATTCACTTTCAAATCATAATGGAAAAGGACAACTGGCTTTCTCCAAATTGCTCTTACACTGAATGAATAGAGCTGGCTGGAAAGGCTGGCTTTTAATTCAAAACCAGTTTTCCTTTTCTCCTGTGGAAAAAAAAAAGATATTCAATCTTGCTTTGGTTTCTAACTCCCACTGATATCAGAGGGAGGTAGGAACCTACATCTAGACCTTCACACTGGTGAACACAGAAGAAACACATCCATCTAGCACAGCTAGGTTGTGGGAAATAACTTGCAGAAGTTCCCTACTCTATCCCACATAATTAGGAAAAAGGCATTTATTTTCCTATAGTGAATGAATGTTGATGGAAAATTCATAAGGCAGCAGGCACATGCTCTTTATTCCTTTCCTTAGTTTAAATGCAACACATCAGGAATTGTAGCAGTATTTGACATTGGAAAACAGTAGCTATGTTCCAACAATTAGGATTACCATCTTTTCTAATAGCTGTACAGGCATCTATCCTAATAGTTTGAGAACAACTTTCAAGTTATCCAAACAGTTTTATTTATAAAACTCTTTTTTTTCAAATAAGCAATACTTGTAGCACTGATAATACTTTTGGATTTTTGAATATCAATGACTTTTATATTGGAGACAGCAGTTCTGTCTGATGGAGTTAAGATGGAAAGTCTGATCACCATTCAAGCTTTATTAACTCATTTAAGTGAGAATTATGATGTGTGTGTTGACAGCTTGCAGTACTGACAGTTTTGAATTAGTACATCTGAGGCTGAGGATGCTTTCTGTGGGCCACATGCTGGTGCCATCTGCACCTATTTTACCTTGTGTAGCAAAAAATTACATAACATTGTCTGTCTTGTCCCTCCCATGAGTAATGCCCATTTCATTTGTGTGTCTTTTAAGGGATGAAAAACTATTCAAAGCTTGGGGGAAGAAAAAATGAAATTTGGAGTTCTAATATAAGAATTAAGTTAGCTGCAGGCAGTCTGCATCTTGGACAAAAATAACAACCTGAACTGCCTGTGGCAGTTTTGACATGTATGACCTGTATTTATTCAGTAGGTATCTTAGCTTTCACTGATCTTAGTGATCTGCTCTGAGTTGCTACAGGGTCAGATTTTTGTATGCATGAATTATTCTAAAACACTAGTACATTATATGCAAAGGGGTTTGTTTGGGGTTTTGTTTGTTTGTTTGTTTGTTTGGGGGTTTTTGTTTGTTTGTTTTTTGTTTTTGTTTTTTGGTTTTTTGGGGGGGTTTTTTGTTTTGTTTTATATATAAGCAAACAAATTTTCTGTTTTCAGTCGGTGCTGGGCTGGTGTGAATATGGTCCCATAGATTACAAAATCCAAAGATCTGGCTCATAATTTTCTCCAGAGGAATAAATTGTAATTATGGAAGTTAAATATTTTTTCCACTCTTATCTGGCTTCATTAAATACATATTCACAACAGTGAGAAAATTCTACATTTCCTTTTCATTTTTCAATGCCATTCAAAAAAATGCTGTTTATTATTAACTGTTGTTTGAGAGAATTCACATCAGCATACTCTATACTGAGACTGCATTGGAGGTATTTTTAGACAGATTTGTGTCAGTGTTGGCCACTGACTGGGACTAATCTCTGACTGCAGCATCAGAATAGGGGGTCAGGCTCCATGGGAAGGGCTTGTGCTGGATTCCTCAGGAGAATTCCATGAGGTCTTTCAGCTCTAATCTGCATGTGTTTATGTGTATGTGTCTCATTCTCCCCTCCACCTTCCCCTCAATGTCCCTTTAAGCTTCCTCTTCGCTGGCATCGTGAAGGATAAATCGTTTTAGGATCTGGCCTGAGATGTGGGGCTGCAGCTTAGGGAGCACAGTCTGTGAAAAGCTGCTGGCAGGCAGCGTGGCTGGGGCTGCACTTCCTCAAGGTCCCTGGGTAGCCCAGACTGGTGCTGAAGTGGCCCAGGCCAGCCTGGAGTGACTGGCATGGGGTGGGGTGTGGGGAATGGGGCCGGTGTGGGCAGGGAGGGAGCCTGGGATCACAGCAGGGACAGCACCTGAGGCAGCCACAATGCAGGGGCTCTGCTGGCCTCTGGCTCCGTGGGGAAAGATGAGGCAGTGAGGAGACAGGAATCCCTTGCTGGGGCTGGGGCTGGAGGGGAGGAATAGCCAAGACAGGCCAGTTCCACCAGGCTGGCATGTCAGAGAGCTGGGGTGGGCAGCCAGCATGACTCACTACAGTCAGGGAGAGGGCTCCAAGGAGGAGATGAGGGTACAAGTAGCTCACAGTAGCCCAGAGAGATGGTTTGAATACGTACAGAAGGGGGGAGCAAGGACACAATCTGGTAAATCCGAAGTCTGGACTGCAGGAAAGGGAATGCAGTGTATGTAAGCAGAGCTGAGCTGGCTTGCAGGGTGGCAACAGTGAAAGTGCAGCAGCACAGACTTCAGTGGGAGCTGTACTGGCTTGAGAGAGTCGTGAAAATGTCCTTGGGCAGAGAACCTGCACTGTAGCACATGCCCTGACTCCAGCTGGTGTCTGAGCAAGTGAGATTAAAGCTAGTTTACATATCACTATATGAGGTACAGTGATATCTCTGAATGAAGAACAGAGATACCCTGAGGATTATCATGTAATAAAAAGTTCCTGTTATGACTTGTGCTGCTTCATAATGTGGTCCAAAAATAGGGAATCCATGTACCCACCCTTGATATCTATATTAAGATAGAATTTTTGCACATATCTGAACCAGAAATTTGTGAATAATAATGTAGCATTTTAACTTTCAGGGGGGTAGAATACCACATAACTGCTGATCCTCTTCTGCTATATCACCTTTGTGATATGGGGAGGGTAAAATGCATATCTATAATAATATATATCTCTAAAATTCAAATTACGGCCTTTTAACTATCACTGAAAAAATGTTGTACAAAAAGATGCAAGATGAATAATGTGTACTTGATTATGTTTTATGTCTTGTAAGAGATGCCTGGGATAAGTCCTAAGTTCTTCTGAATATTTCTTTTCATTCTAATTAATGTGAGGTTTTACCCAATAAAACAAAGATACTGTACCTCTGAATGATCAATTTAAAAGATAGGTCTTTTGTCTAACTAAAAAGTGTTCAATAATTTTTCAGTCAAAGGATTCAAAAGTTTTTTAATGTTTTTCTCTCTTTTGGTGTTCTTTTTGCAGAACAGGGCAAAATTAAATGTTTCCAAAGAAGGCTACTTTTATTATCTGGACAAAAAAAACAGTCTTAGGACTTCTTTTCATTAGTTTTTACTATATTGGGTTCACACATTACACAATTCTAAAATCAATTCAAAACAAGGAAAAATATTTTTCCATTGGTCCTTCAGTGGTCAGTACTTTGGGTGAAATGTTTTTGCTGAAGATTACTTGTATTTACGTTTAATAATGTGAATGTCCACAGCACTGAACACATTCATTAGTGTCTAATGCTGGACACACTAATGTTTGTTTGCAATACTTGTCTCCTGGTAGTGGATATGAATTTGTTTAGTATTTATAAGCATCAGAATTTGAAACTGAGTGATTTATTGCCTGCAGTGATCATATATTAGGAGTCTAAGTTTTATAATATTTTGACATGTTGAATTGATGCCACAAGTGCCCTTGCTTTTAGATAGATATTTTTTCCTAAGTTCCTAGTTATTTCGGAACAGAATGTCTAGTGGTTTATGAGATGTGAGTAATTACCTTGCATGGATTATCTGTGCCAACATGAATAAAACCATCTAGTAATAAAAGCAACGTGCAAAAGCAGTTAAAGCTTTGTGATTTGGGTATATTTTTAATATGCCATGTGAACAGCTGACAGCTTTCAGACATGTAATATCAGTAAGAAAGCATAAGAAAGCCTGTACTCTCTACTTCAGACCTGAAAATAAAAAATTAAAAGGATTGATTTCAACTTTGTTGTATATCAATCTTGAATATTTTATTGACCAAATAATGCCGTTTTAAACAAATATTAGCACGCTTAAAAGATGCAGTCTGCTAACAGTACATGTTGTAACTTAGCAAGACCTGTATAGTCCCAGACCTTATTGTGTCAACAAATACTGTTTATAGTAACTTTGTAAGGAGTGGGTAAATTCTGTCTTCAGTTACATCGATGCGTCTGCAAACAAAGTTTGACTGCATAAGTTCAGGTAGGTGTTCTGCTATTTCTTAGCAAAGGTTATTTAAAATACACAAAATATTTTAAACACTCTCATTGAGCTCTAGTGCAAAGAAATATGTATAAATTAAAGGATGACCTCATATAGCAGTGTGTATTACAAAAACAACCATTTTGTACATTCCTGTTGCACACCCCTCAAAAATTCAGGCATTTTAGAGATACAACAAAGTATATTAAACATAATTAAGAAGTTAGATGATAAATGAACAGACTTGGATTTAGATGCCTTTACCAAGTACAGCGTCAGGAATCACAACTTCGTGCACTTTTGATTTTATTTTCCAGCCCTGGTTTCTGTTTACAATATGCATAAGGAAACACAATTGAAAAGAATGCCCAGATGTACACAGTATTTTGTCAGATCAAAATTGCTTTTTTTTAGATTGTCTGTTCTGACCTTTAACCTTTGCACAAGACAGTGCTTCCTAAACTGTGCACTGTGATCCCTGGAGAGTTCAGTTGTTGGAACTGGAAGCAGCAGAGGCATAAGCAGAGCAGCATGCCAGCTGACCGGGTGGAAAAAGGGAATAGAGCAAAGTTCATTAGGAAAGGACATGGTGCAAAATAGCTTGACAAGTGTTGCATTAAGAGATTCGTAATAGAGATTCTTAAAGGAGAGATTATTGCTCTGAAGAAAATGGTGGTTTCAAAAGTGTAGGCTTTGGCATTGTTTCCCCCTCCCACCCCAATCACACATCTTGAATTCAGCCAGTTTCTGTTGATTAAGAAAGGAAGGAATGTGTGAATAAGATTGCTGAAACCATTATTGAATACACAATGAAACGCTTTGTTCTCCCAGGCAAATCAGAGTTATGGATGAGATTCAGACTAT